AACCCCTTACTCGCCGATGGCGGTCTCTCCACGGTCATCTCGAATCCAAATGGGTCGTCGGGGGATCTCTTATCTGCATCTCTGGGCCGGTGGCAGAACCGAGCGGCTAACTTGGATAGGTCACTAATCCAGGTTTTCAAGACTATTGCGACCATGGCGGATAGGTTTGTGAACCGTGCTGCTTTTTGTGGCTTCTTTGGAGAGTTTGCTGAAATGTTGTGATTAATTTGCTTGTTTAGGTTCCAATTTGGGGCTTTTGCGATTTTTTTAGGTATTTAATGTGAAGAGTGGATTTTGTTCGGAAAGAGTTTTTTGGTAGAGGTTTTTGAATCCATTTTGGAAAATAAACTGAAAATCTCAGGTGAGCCATGGTTTGCTATCTCACTCGAGCCATACATTACTTGTGGTATGTGATTTTGAAAGAGAGGTGAGAAACAGTTTGGAGAAGGTTCGAGTATTTTATAGTTTACGGTTCAACCGAGTTACGAATGGCCTTTATAATTGCTTGAGTTGGACAGACAATCATTGTTCATACGAGTTTCCGAAACAAATTGCATTGTTTGAAGAACTTGAGTTGGCATATGGAATGAGGTTTTGCGTATCTGTCTATATCTGCCCAAGTTTGGCTCGGGAAGAATCACGGAGCATAAAGCACTTAAAACATAGTGCATTTTTTCGTCTTGGTAAAATTGGTTGTTTTTTTGTACAAGGAAACATTTCTCTACAAGATCTTTCCGCAAAGTTACCTACTTATGAGTTATTATATTGCCTTATATCGAACTCCAATCAGAGTCGGGTAATTGTTTTTTCTCCTCCATCAAATCAAATACTAACAAAGATATGCTAAAATTTTCAGGTTGGGTCTTGTTGCAACGATAAAGGTATGTAACCATTTGAATTCCCTTGTGTATTTTGTAAATTGGACGTCATTCATGGTTGCTACCTCCCACCCGGAAAAGTTTACTTCTTTTAACTCCTATTGTGATCAAATGTTATATTGAGATTGAGTTGTCAACTGACCTACCACAAATCCACAAACAAGCACGCAATGTTATGTTGTAGCTGTTGAAATTGATATACTTTTTATTTTAAAAAACAAAAAACAAAAACAAGAAACAAAAAAACAAAAAAACAAAAATGTCGGCCAATTTTCTTTGTTCAAGCGCGTTTCTGTTTTACCCACTTCAGAAGTTACACTTAACAGTACATAACTTAGGATTTGCGCACATCAGGATTTTGGCGCAGAGCATTTTGTCTCAAAATATTGGGCCTGTCAGTTTAAACTGTAAAACACTCATAATCCATGTGGAAAATTGGATTTAGGATCGAGCGAATGAAATATATAAGAAGGTGGAAGATCAAAAGCCTCTTAAAGGACGGAATCAAGATGCTATCTTGGCTGCTTGCCTCTACATTGCATGTCGGCAAGAGGACAAACCACGAACCATGAAAGGTATGATTTTGAGCTCCCTCGGGACTTTTTGTGCTTAGTGTTGGTTGTTTTAAAGCAAGTCTTGTGTGGATTTAAACAGAAATATGCACTGTTGCAAATGGTGCAACCAAGAAGGAGATTGGACGAGCTAAAGAATTCATTGTGAAACAGCTAGAGTTGGAAATGGGTCAATCGGTGGAGATGGGAACCATTCATGCAGCCGACTTTTTGGTGAGCCCAACTCTCTCTCTCTCTCCCTCTCTCTCTCTCTCTCTCTCTCTCTCTCTCTCTCTCTCTCACACACACACACACACACACAAGCAGTCATATCTCTAACCTTGTTCCCGTGGATGGTTTGTATGCATTGGTTGTAGAGACGTTTTTGTTCGCATTTGGGTATGACAAACCAAGCAGTGAAAGCTGCTCAAGAAGCAGTACAAACATCCGAAGAGCTCGATATAAGGTATTTCTACTTTTACCATTCAGATTTTTTTTTATCTAACGGGCATTCATGTAGAGTCTTGCTTTCTTGCAATTGCCATGTCTACTTGCAAGTAATTTTTTCTTTTTTTTTTTTTTTTTTTCTTCTAATTAGATGCCATCATTTTTATTACTGACCTCAATATCGATTCTCTTTTCTATAATGGATATTTTACAACAAAAACTAAACATTGGGGAAAAATACAACAATTTTTTTTTTAAAAAATATTTGTCAAGCTCCCCTTGACATTTGTTTCTATTTTAGAAATAACTTCTCATGTTCATTAGACTGAACACAAATCTGAATTCAAGATAGTTGTAGTATTTGTAAGAGACTACATCTGTGTGGCATTTTTAACTATGCATTTTTCAATGCTCAGTAACACCACCTTCATGAAAGATAGGACATGCACTATGATAACACGCATCTCAATTTTAGTAAAATATCTATATACCTATTATCATTGTTTTTGATGCAGGAGAAGTCCGATATCCATAGCAGCAGCAATAATCTACATAATAACGCAACTTTCAGACGACAAGAAGCTTCTCAAAGGTGAAGAGATTCTCCTCCTCACCAAATAGTTATCCGCGCAAAAATGCTCCTTAACTCTTTCACCTTCTATAGATATTTCACTTGCAACGGGAGTGGCTGAAGGTACAATTCGCAATTCGTATAAGGACATCTACCCGCTTGCGTCAAAAGTAGTTCCGAGTTGGTATGCCACTGAAGAAGACCTCAGACAACTTTGCACTCCATGAGTTGACTTATCGGGAAGCAGCTTTTAAATGTTTAGCACAAAGTGCTTCATTTGTGATGCAAAACGAGCCCCTCTGACCAGTAGTTGCTGAAGTAGATCTGGTAATGCTATTTAGGACGGTAATCGTGAGACCTAGCTAATGTAGAAGTTTCTCTTTTGTTGCAACCTTAACATCAACATTGTGTATTTTTATGTTCATGCATTGAATTTTGTAATTAATCCCTCGTTAGATATCCCCATAACTCGGTTACGTGAACCAGTCAAGGGTGAAAGTTGATATTTACCATTTTTTACAAGCATTCTCATATGACCCACAAGCGATGGGGCAGTTGGGATATGAGAAAAGATGTCGAGACATACCGGTATGAGTATCTCACCTTCGCATAACAAATGATTTGTATCTCACATTCAGCATAACAAGTATTTTGTACAATTCATAAGTTGAAATGGGATAAATCGCAAAACTACAAGTAAAGAAGTCTTGTTTCTTTAAACTACTTCCGAACTATCCGTAAAAGATGTAACTTTGAAATACTACCTCCTCTTACATTTTTGGGTTCTTCATTTGCGGCCCCACAAAGCTTTTCCTTTTAACATATCAGCATTGCCAACACAAGAAGCCACAACTATTTCAGTTCCAAGACTGCACGACACATTAACTTGTCAACATGCGTAACGACCTTGGCTTAAGTAGCTTTTGAACAAACTCGTATCTGCATGCAATCACAACAGATGTCATTCCCATGTGAAAGATACGAGGTTGTGACTCTTTCAATTAAGAAAGAGCAGTCAAAGGGTCAATCAAAAGAAGGGTCATTATGTGTATATTTTGTAATTATAAATATAAGTGAATTTTGAAAGCACAAGCAAGAAGAATTTGCAATTTTCTGCACAAAACTACATCAGAACGTAAAACAGTAAATCATCAACACGTGAAACAGCGACTGACATACCATAACCCAAATGTTAACTCCCATCAGTATTCAACAAATTCTTCTTTTTCCTTTTATGCTTAGGCTTCACTGCATCTTTTAACGTCTTGGGTTTGGTCATCTGTTGTTGAGCTTTAGCTGTATCCTCCGATGGAGGTGATGGATCTTCATCTCTAAGGGGTTGATCAGACTCAGGATTTTCAGGAGGTAATACATCCATCTCTCGTTCTGGGATCACTGCAGCTGTAAAATATAAAATTTCTTACACATTTCAACTAAAACAGAACACTCCCGTAAGTAAAGTAGGATCAGACAACAAATGATTTTTTTCATTCAAAAGATGCTCCTATTTTTTTTTAAACAAAAACTGTTTCGTTTGCATTGAATTCATCATAGCGCTACTCATATTTGAAATTATCCTGCAAAATTACAAAACAATGAAGCAAGCAAGAAGGAAGATTTCCATTAAAGCACTAGTTTTACCCATGCATTTGCACGAAAAATAATATAATAGAAGAGAAAATAATTAAAAATATAGAATAAAATAAAAAATCATAACTTAATGAATAAGAAAAAAATTATTTAAAAAAGTTAATCTAAATATTATTAAACACTTCTTTATATAAAACAATCGTAATTTTATTAACGTCAGAATCCTCATCACAACAAATTCTTATCATTAAATTTCTTCGCCTCGTGACTCCGAGATTTGATTTTCAAAATATTTGATGTATCTTTGTAATATCCGAAATAATATTTTTTATTATTGTATGACTGTAATAAAAAATAGAGATATTTGTAGTCATTTTAAATTAGCTGTGAAATATGTATTTATATACTACCCAAAAAATATATAGTATCAAAATAAAAAAAAAAAAAAAAAAATATTTTGTATTTCATGACATAAATATACGTTACAGTAATGGGGACCATCCAAAATGTGACATGTCAAAATAAATTGTGTAATGAAAGTTACATATTATTGTTAATGGTGAACATATTTGTATTAAATGCAATTTATTTTTATTAAATGACCTCATATTATTATTAATTGAAGTTGAATAAAATTAAATGAAGCTTGCCCATATTTATATATATATATATAGATTTGAAATCATGCATTTCTGCACATTAAGCACACAATTATATTAAATTACCTCGCAAACCCAGAGATGCCTTCAATTCATCAACGTTGACACCCTTAGAATATGGATCCCTGCATTGAAACATGTTGCTTTCAATAAAAAAAATGAACTTCCATTAAGAATCATAGTTTTACGATTGATAAAGTGCTTCATATCAAAAAGCATTCCATTTCATATGACATGGATTAGTATCTATATTAATTTGTTGACACATATACATGATAAACTGCAGATAATGATAAATATAAACTAAGGATGCTTTTGGGCATTTTGGTGGGATTATAGCCCTGATGGACCTCAATCCCGTATTTGGCATGAAAAAATCTACACTTATCCTGACTTTGATGTTAATGTGTTTTGGATTATTCATTAATTTCAGATATGTGTTGATCCTATCAATATCCCCAAAAGAGCTCTAAAGGAAATCTCGGATCACGCAATGAAAAAAATATGTAAATTGCAAACTAAAAAAAGAAAATCTTCAATAGGCCAGAATAATCCGAAGAAATACACCATACCAGCTAGATGGTCCACCAATAAAAGGTTTAAGCTTGACATTCCCCAAACTGCTTTCATCATTTTTAGATGAATTGGTTTCAATTTCCATGTCCTCTTGCGTACTTCTATCCTCTGTTTTCATTTCACGCTTCCCCATTGCCTTTGATAAATTATCAACTCTCTTCTGAGCAATTTGGCTCACGCCAACAGGATCAGGGTGTCGTTTGATCTTTTTCAAAGCTCTTGTTGAGTTGTAGACTTCAACCTGAAAACCAGCCATAATTTTAGTATGGAATACATCCAGAGATATAAAATCTTACCTTATGGGGATCTTGCATATACTACAACGAAAGATTCCAGACCTATGCTACCTGGACTCGGATATGGGTGGCGTATCGCGCGTGGAAATATGAGCGTCCGACTCGTCAATAGTTTAGAAATCTTGAACATTTTAAGCTAAAATGCCACACCCGGCCCTCATACCCACACCAGTGTCGACACAACATGACACGAGTATTCTTCCTAAATAGAAGAGTCCAGGTAACATAGTTCCAGACATATTCCCCAACTCAGTAACTCTAATATTTTCTCAGTTTGCTAGCTTCTTGTGATATATCTAAACAAGGGTTAACGTCATCAAGAAAAGCACAAGCGCAGATGGTAGAACTATAAGAGGCTTCCTTCAAACAAATCAGTCAAAAAGCATCTTTGTATCCGACGTACTAGCAAGCACACACAACACAGCTTGCAAGAACAACCTTTCAAATCACATAAACCATGATCATTGAAACTTCATAATGATATAAAGATGCAACGGAGAATATTTATAATATTCACCAATGGTATTCTTAGATTATTTGTGAAATGTACATCAAGGCAAATTGCCAAATATGCCCACTGCAAGAAAAAAGATCTACGATAAATATCCAAACATCATGCTTACCACATAGTATTCAAAAACCATGATTACCATGCAGTATAAAAAACAAATGTACTTCCTGGAGATAAGAAAAATGAAAAATCACGCAAATATATGACAAGGAAGTCTTGTACATGTCAGAAGAACTACTAACCTCTTTCTTTATTTTGGTTGTTATGTCGCCAGCCTTTACAGATGCAATACGCAAGCACTGCATAATAACACTCTGTATGACGCCTTCCCCTCCAGCTTTTTGGATAGCACAGACGTCACCATTTGTATTCAGGGTAGCAGTCAATTTTCCTCCCATAACAGCTTCTTCAAAGTGTGACGGGTCAATAACCTAGCGAAACATGTCAAAATCAGAAGTAATGTCAAAAAACGCAGCCCACCAGACATAACATGAGAACATGNNAAAAAAAAAAAAAAAAAAAGTGAAAACAATAGCAGTGTGAAGATATTATAAAAAACATGCTTACCACTGTGCTCTCCGCCCCAATAAAGGCGAAGGTAACAGCTATAGGGAGATGGTGTACAATCAACGGAAGTGGTTCCCTGACCTGACATATTTATAAAACAAAACATGAAACCAAGTATAGGAATTGCAACGAATATTGTTGAAATTAAAATTTAATCATAAACTTTTTTTGTTGCAATTTTGTGCATGAACTTTCTAATTGTTCAATTTGATGCACACTGCTATTTCCTGATACCAAAAGGCAAAAGCTAACATGCTGCAACGGAAATTTCATTGCGTAAGTTGTAGCCATGTTGGATGAATGTGACATTATTTATTTGCATATAAATTTACAAATTTCTAGTTATTCTAAATCATACATGGACAATTGCAATTTGCAATTCTATACGCGACCATAAAGGATTATTTTCAATTTATTTTGATGTCATGATATTAAGAAACAAACGATTTAGCAACTTAAAAAGGTTTCATTTGAATTAAAAAAAAAAACAACATAATTTATCAAATGAGAACACTCGTATTAATAACAACCAACACTATCATAAACAATAAGCGGTACTATTGGAGCTACAATCTCGTGGTAAGTGGAAAAATTATTTCAAATCTTTTAACTCTTTTATTATGCAGGATTATACTTTTGAAAGAATGTGAATCACAAATGTTCTATAATCCTAAATTATACATATTTGATTCAGAAAAATGGATTGAAAATGCAACTCATTTGGAATTCGCAATCCTCAATAATTTATCATCTTAATGTAATTATACAAATTTTGTATTTTGAAGGTTATTTATAAATCATGTGTTTCCTGACACCACAATATTAAAATTGGGAATTACAGATTTGTCATGTGTGTTGAATTGCAACATTTCAATAGTTTGTGTTTGATTTTGCAAAAAGTTTGTGAACTAATATGGAAATAACAATGACATGTTTTCATTCTTCGTGGCTTCAACCATCCACCGTGACATTCTCGTAGCGACTTGTGAGGTCATGGTGTGTAAGATTCATGCATAAAATTACAACAATAAAAAAGTTCATGAATGGACATTCCAACCAAAAAAAAAAAAAGTTTGTATAAAATTGTAAAAATGAGAAAAGTTTATGAATCAATATATAATTAAACCTTTCGAAAAAGTACTCAGTTACTTCTAAATAGTCACAACAAACCTAATCTAAACAGATTTCAGAGTCTTGAAAGTCCAAAGATATAATGCATACCAAGTCTGTTTCAGTGGTGAAGCAGACTCATATGGAAGAGCAATGCTTCTGACAAACCTTATCCAGAAGGATAATTCATTGTGACAAACTTCATAGATTGCATTATGAATATAAGTAAAATTCAAACCAGTTACATCAGAACTGGACTAACACAGAAAATAGAGGAAAGAAAATAACTCACTTCAGGAGGATGTATGGTAACTTCCTGGCCATCTTCTCCTCCTAATGTGCATTCTGGCCTTCTGAAAGTCAAAAGAGCAGTCAAAGCAGCTATATTGGCAGCATCCACAAGATTCCTATTCTCAAGGAACAAAGCAATGCCAACAAAGTTAGGTTATAGCGAATAAATCATAGACACGGAGAACTTGAAGACGTGCGCACTCCACTAACCCGCCATTGTCCAGAATGTGAAGATCGACACGAATAGACCACACCCATTTACCAGCAACAACACAAAGTGATTCTGTGTCCACTGCCCTGCTTTCCCTGCAACACACTTCTGATGGCTCAATACAAGATAATTATTCTGATTTGCTATCCTAATGCAAGAAATAGAATGCATTGAGAGGATGAAAACATTCAAATTCCATCACATTTTAACTCTAACTGTCATTTAATTAAATAAGTTAATTAATTTCAACAAGGAAAGTATAAAGGTTTTTCTTTTCACTAAAGAAAGTCTAAATGCACTGGAAAAGAAAACGCAGCTTAATTCATTACCTCAACCCACGATCAATTATGCGTCCTAACTCTACAGCAAATTCCCCAGGACGCCCTACTTCAAATGAAGGATCTGCCATTGGAGAGAATTCAGTAAATATGGCAAGAGTTCCTTCGTTCGGGCGGTCACGATAAGGTTGCACCAGCTGGGAGGTTACAAATCCCATTACACGAGTCTGGCCCAGTTTCACCTCCGATGAGCCATCTTCACTGCTTATACACCAAAAATTCGGGCCAATGTTGAAATTCACATACCACGATAGCATCCCAGATTGTCAAAAAATATTTAACTTCTACAAATGCGAAGCAAAACAAGAGCCAATCATGTTGGTACATATGCAATCATTACAACGATGTTTACTAAAAAAACATATGATAATACATTTTACTGAAATACGAAAAAAAAAAAGAATGAATTAGACGTTCTTACCTACCAAACTGGATTGTTAAGCTTCGATAATCAAATGGACCGCGACCATCGATTCTGAGATCCGACAGCAGCGCCGTCTCGATGAATTTCTTCTCATTCAATGTCATCCGCCATGTATTAGAAAGCCTCTGCTCCATTTCTTATGGCTCCCAAGTGATTGCGTTGTAAGAAGGGAGAAAATAGCAACGAGTAATTAGGGTTTATAATCAGGGTTTATCTGCGTTGGTCTCCTCAGTCCTAAGGGTATGTTTGGTTCAATGGAGGGAAAGAGAGGGGAGGGATTTTAATGGAGGGAAAGGGAGGGGAGGGGAGGGGAGGTAATATAAAATAATTTTACCTTGTTTGGATGGATTATTTAGGAGGGGAAAGGAGGGAAAATGGTAAACCTTGTTTGGTTGATAAAGGGAAAATAAACTAAAATGACAAATTTATCCTTTATGAAATAAAAAAATAAAAACAATTGAAAGTATGGGCTAAAAGGTAATTTTATATCATCACAAACCACTTCCCCTCCAAATCCCTCCAATTTTGGAGGGGAGAAAAAGTGGGGGAGGGAAGGGAAAATCACTTAAAATTTTCCTCTCCCTCCCCTCCTAATTTTCCAACCAAACAAGTGAAAATTAAAATTCTCCCTCCTCTCCCCTCCCCTCCCCTCCGCTCCAAATCCCTCAAACCAAACAACCCCTAAAGCCTCATGGGACAAACCCAATATGCCCTGTTTGGCTTCTGTATGAGGCAGTGTTTTAAAATGCGTATAGCGTAATGCACCGCGTTTTGGTCTTTATAAATCGTAGCGTAAATAGCGTTGCATGTTGCGTAAGCTATTTGATTATAATTTTTTTAATTGAAATATTACAAGTATATTTGCATATAATAAAAATTGATGGCTGATTAAAAAAATTATCATAGTATTTGAATGACTTCAAAATAACATCTAAGGATTTATTCTCCCAAATGTTTAATGTAAATATCATGATACTATAAATATTTAATAATAAATCGAATATACTAAAAAGTAAAAACAAACAACGAAAATATAATGAGGTAAGTCATAGTATAATTTTAAGTATATGCATTTCAATTATTATATTTTTATTTAACTATAACTTAATTCTAACCATTAGATATGAATTTTTTTATTCTTTATTTAAATGTCAAATATCTAAAAATAAAATGATATAACAAAAATGGACAAAAAAATATTGCACTATTCAACTTAGGACTTTGGTGTAAAAACAATCAACAACCAAAGCTTGTCGCGATTTTCCTCTCGGCAAAACCAGAACCTCCAAACCCTAGCTTTCGAATGTTGTCGTTCTGCTTTCCTTGGCGGTGGTGGGGCTCGGCTGGTGGTCATCCCCAACTGCTCTTATCGTCCTGGACTCGTTGCCCCCCATTTTCGCTGCGGTCTGGAGCTCTATCGGCGGCGGCGCAGAGCTTCGAAGTGGTGCCTTTGGTCTGATTCTGGTCGGAGTTTGGGGGCCTTGCTTCCCGGTCGACTGGCAGAACTTAATTGGCCGATGGTATGCCCTCTCTCTCTCTGTTTTTTGTCCTCGATTGGCCACCCCTTCCCCTTTCGGCTAGTGGTGTTAGGCGAAGTGGGTCCCGGTTCAATCGTGCTTGTCTAGTGGTGTTAGACGGGTTGGAGCCGTGGTTGGTGTGGGGGCGTTTTGTTTTCCTCACGGTGGGTGATGGGTCGACTCGGGGATTGGTACGGGGCTCGATGTTAGCTACTGTATAGACATTAGGCAATTTCGGTAGTCTTTCATCGGGCTTAATATCCGTCTTGGGTCGATTGTTCACTGTTGGCTGAGTCTGATCGATTGTTGGGGAAGGGCCTTTTATATTTGCTTAGGTTTTGTTGTCTAGTGCTTGTGTTATCCCAGTTTGTGTTTTTGGTTTGGGCCACTTGGTCTGTGTTGTTTCTCGTTTGGTATTTTTGGTTTGGGTCGTTGGCCCCTGTTTTGTGTAAGCCCGGTTGTGTTCGGGTATTCTCCCGTGGGGAGCGTTCTATATTCTCATATTGGGAGCTTTGTGTTTCATTGTTGGTGTTGTAGTTTTGGTTGGGTTTGAGTCTTGTTTTGGTTTCTAGCTTGGCTAGTTGCGGATCTAGGCGGTCTCGTACCTGTTCTTTCACTTTATTCAGTCGTTGGTTGTATCTCTCAGCTATGGGTTGTATTTTGCACATTTGTGTGTTTTGATATATAATATTTCTATCGTTTCGTAAAAAAAAAATAAAAATAAAAATAAAAAAAAATAGAAAAACTAAGGACTTTGCATTTTCAAAATTTTAATTTGAAACCATTATAAAAATTTTTTATTTTTTTATTGTCATTTGTAAATATGACTCTGGTCTCTAAAAAATACGAGTTTTTGAATATTTTATTGTCGTTGCAGAAATATAGCGCAATTTAGCGCACAATAGCGCAAATAGCGTAAGAAAGCGTGTCGTTTTAACATTTTGGGTAAGCTTTTCGGGAAAAACGTTAAATATATATGGCTATGTTGCGTTTTTCCGAAAAAAAGCTATATAGCGAACTACATAGCGAACTATTAAAAATAATGGTATGAGGGGTTCAGAAGTGGATTCTACCGTAGGGTTTTCTTTTTCTTTTCTTTTTTTCTTTTTTTTCTTCTTTCTTAAATCGGTTATAGGTGAAGCGTCTTACCACGAATCGCACTATGCTTCATTGTCTAAATTCTATTATATGACTTGCTATTTGTTATGGTGTCACAAAAGGCAGAAATTTTATGGCATCACATGTGGCACCACATTATGGTGCCACAACATGATGTGACACATTATGATTGGTGCCACAACTATCACACATCATGTTGTGGCACCAATCATAATGTGCCAAATATGGTGGCACCATAATATGGTGTCAAATGTGGTGCCATAGAATTTCTGCACAAAAGGGCCAAAATTTTTATTTTTATTTTTTTATTTGAGTGTATCAATTTTAATTTATTTTCAATTAAAAGTTTACTTTTACATATAGTTCTCAATTTAGGACATCAACTAACTTTATATTTTTAAATAAATATGTAAACCAAAATACTATTATTTTAAAATTTATATTTTATATTATTGTAAATATCTTTATTAAAGTTATTTAAGTAAGAAAATTAATTCATTTATGCTAAATTAATTTTACATAATTGCAACTTATTTGAAATAAGTTTTCTTTCGGAGCTAGTTTTACAAATGTATTTAATACTTTTATTGTAGGTCTTAATTTTATATATTATTTTTTCCCGAAACGATAGGGATTTTATAAAGTGCACAAATGTGCGGAACGGAAGGCAGCTCAAAGTTGAATGATACAACTTAGAGCTAAAAACTAGGAGGCAGATCCGGAGATCGCCTAGAGGTCGCACTAGCAATGCTAGAACTAAAGCATTACAAACACTAAACAGAAAACTAGTTTTATTCGGTTCCAATAACCGGGTGTTTTTCCAGATTCGATTATAAATGTATGAACCCTAGTACCGTCTGAATAATTTTTAATTGTCGTATCATTAATTTGTAATACGTATCGTCGTCTCGCGCACATGATCAACTCTCGTCCGACCGTTTGAGCTGAGCCGCCGAGTGCGTGCCCGTGCACCAAGTCCGAGTCAAACCACCGAGTGCGTTCCCATGCATTGAGTCCGAGTCAAACCACCGAGTGCGTGCCCGTGCACCGAGTCCATCCGTCTATCGTCTACGCGCTGTATTCCTGAGCCGTGGTCCAAGCACGCCCCTGCGTCAGTGACCGTGGCACCGTTTCAAACTCGTGCATCGCCTAAGCCATGTCAGTCGATTTCGTGTCGGCCCGAGTTGCCACGTCAAACCCGAACCACAGTCAAACCGAGTTGCACATAGTTAAGCAAATGATTGACTGGCTCCGAGTGAGTCGTCTGTCCAGTTCAGTCAAACCAGTCGGGGTAGTCCGGACGGTTTGAGAAATTTCATATATATATTTCAGATAGAATTTCAGAGATAGTATTTCATTTAAGATTCCAGATAAAGTTAAGATGTCAGATAGATTAAAAATCCATATATAGTTTAGATTTCAGTCAGATTAGATTAAGTCAGATTTTAGTTCCAGACTTAGAAATATTTCAGAGAACTCTAGAATGCCTCAAAGACAATAATATTTTCAAAATCAGCTCGTAAATCCCTAAAATGATTTTTAAAACAGAGTGCGAACCTAGACAAATAAGATATTAAAGATTCGAGTTTTATTCTGAGCCCAATACTTAGAATATTTCGCTCGTAAATTTTGTAGCTTGAGGAGAGTCGAGCCTCCGTCAGCTACCCATTTCAGATATTTCAGCATTTGCATTCGCCAGTTTTCAAGTGGGGATCATGTACTATGTATTTCATCGCTTTTAATAATTTACCATGTTTGAGGTCTATATGTGATTAAATTAAAGGACCGAGACGGATGAGTGATCCCGTCTTGGTCAAGATTTCAGATGTCAGTTATGACTTAGATGAGTGGGCGAGGCCCAGCCTAAGTCTAGCGTTCAGATGAGTGGGTGATGCCCATCCTGAATTTCTTTGGGAGGGGACCCCTAGAGTGTGCACATGAGTACTGGTTTACCTTTAGTCCTATAGTCAGACCAGTTTATTCATATATATGTTGATTTCATAGTTTGTTATTAATTGTGTTGAACATTTAGTGTCGGTCCCAGTGGAGCACCGTTGATTCCTTTGTGCTCACGCCTCCCCACTACCCTATTTTTCAGGTGATGGAGTCCCGCGTGGAGCGTGAGCCGGATGTGGTGGTGGTCATCAGTCAGGATACTTGTGTTATGTTATGTTTTGTATTGTTTGATTTATTTATGCCTTAGTTATGTTTCATTGATTTCCTGTATGCCCTTGATGTTTGAACCTATATTTGCTTCCGCATTCTAGAACTGTATTTCAGAATTTTAGGCTAGTATTCCAGATTTCAGACTAGTATCCAGATCATTATTTCAGTAGTTCAGAATTTCAGATTAGTATTTTAGGACTTCAGACTAGTATTTTAGTAGTTCAGAATTTCAGATTAGTATTTCAGTATTTCAAAATTTCAGACTAGTATTTCAATATTTCAGACTATGCATGCTTAAATCCTGAGATGTTCATGGTGCCTATTAGAGTAAT